CAGTCCAGTATAGGGGATATAATATACATGTAAGTCTATAACAAAATGTCAAAAGCTTAAAGTGTTATAAGAGTGGATCAGATAGAATGTTATGGAAGTTTGGAGGAAGAAGGGACCTCTTAGGACTGGGGCCAGTGAGGTTGAGGTGACGAGAGGCAGCATCAGGGACAGTTTCATGGACATGATTGCTCTTGAGTTGAGCCTTAAAAGATGTGTTGTATTTGGGCACAAAGACATAAAATGAAGACAGTATACTCAGAAGCAATGATGTAATGACACGCATGACATGGAGGCAGGAAACTGAGGATTACATATAAGAAACGGTTGATAGTTGACTTTCACTAGAGCATAGTGTGGCATTAGAAAGGGAATTGTAAGAGTTAATGTTGGAAAGTCATGTTGGATACAGATCCTGGTTGGGAGGCAGAGGTTGTGGGGAGAATTAAATACTAGGTTGTGGAGGTGGGCTTTGTTCAGGAGCAAGTGGGGAGCCACAGAGATTTGTGAATAAGGGAGTTCAGGCATACTTCAGTCAGTTTTGGTAGAAGCTATATAGGGTAGGTTGGCAGGAGGTAGGGAAAACTAGAAACAAGAAATCTATGTGGGTTCTATTTGAGTTGGTCAGGAGAAAGGAAATGAGGTTCAAAATCCAGACCTTACTTTAGTTGATAAAGAAAAGTAGGCAGGACATGGTGGTTCACGCCTGTAATCTCAGCACTTTGGGAGGCCAAGGTGGGCAGATCATCTGAGGTCAGGAGTTTAAGACCAGCCTGGCCACCATGGTGAAAACCCATCTCTACTAAAAATACAAAAAAAATTAGCTGAGTGTGGTGGCATGTACCTGTAATCCTTGCTACTCAGGAGGCTGAGACAGGAGACTCGCTTGAACCCAAGAGGTGGAGGTTGCAGTGATCACACCACTGCACTCCAGCCTGGGTGACAGATCGAATTTCTGTTTCAAAATAGAAAAGAACATCATATACAGAAATATGGAAAATAAGGCAAATGGAAGAAAATGTGTAGCTTTACAAGAATTTAAAGAAATGCAAGTTAAGGTCAGGTACATGGCTCACACCTGTAATTCAGCACTTTGGGAGGCTGAGACAGGAGGATTGTTTGGGCCCAGGAATTCAAGACCAGCCTGGGTAACAAAGTAAACCCCATTTCTCAAAAAATTAAAATAAATGCAGGTTAGAACCTTAAGTCATGATTTTGTATCTATGTAACTAGTTAGTATTGTTTATATGAGAAAATATAAAGTCGATGAGACTTGAAGGGAACTGGACACATTATATATCAGAGTAATTTAGTGTCAACAACAGTCTGGCAAAAAAACAAAACAAAACAAAAAAAAAAAACCAAGATCTTTTCAGCTAAGTACTAATCTTATCCTTGTTTTACAGGGTGAAAACTGAGGCTCAGAGAGGGTAAATAACTTGCCCGAAATCTGGTAAGTGGTAGAGTCTGTGGTGCAGGGGAAGCTGGCCTGCACTGGCTTGAGAGAGCTGATTGTTACATTTTCAGGAATTGTGCAAGCCATTACTAGAAATTTAAACTATACAAATGTGTAATTAAATTACATTAAAGACGAAGATAATAACTACTCAAAGCTTATCACTTTCTAATTATTTTTCTACATTTTACTGTTATGTAAGCTTATGAGGTTATTCATGTCTGCTTTGTATGTATGGTGGAAATTTTATATAGTGATGTGCTCTTGTACATCTTTTCCCAACTCCTTGCTCAATGACATCCCTTTGGTAACTTGCAATCAGCCATGTTGAGAGTTTTTACATTACAGGCAAATACTACAAATCAGGTCTTAATTTATTATTTAATTTAGACTAAGGATTAGCAAGCTATGGTCTGTGGGCCAAGTCCATCTCACCTTCTTTTTAAAATTTAAGTTTTATCAAAACACGCCCATGCTCATTTGTTTAATATCACCTGTGACTGCTTTCCTATGAAAATGGTAGAGTTTAGTAATTGCAAGAGACCACGTAAACCACAAAACCCGTAATATTTACCACCTTGTCTTTTACAGGAAAAGTTTACTAACCCCTTCTCTTACTCCTCATTAAGGTGAGCAAAAATATTAACCAACATTCATTGCAAAACTACACTTGGAGAGCCGGTTCTTTTTTCTTCTTTTTTTTTTTTGAGACAGGGTCTCACTGTCCCCCAGGCTGGAGTACAGTGGCACTATCATGGCTCATTGCAGCCTTAACCTCCTGGGCTCAAGTGATCCTCCCACATCACCCTCCTGGAGTAGCTGGAACTACAGGCACGCACCACCACATCCTGCTAATTTTTAAAAATTTTTGTAGAGGCAGGTCTCATTATGTTGCTCAGGCTGGTCTTGAATTCCTGGGCTCAAGTGATCCTCTCACCTCAGCCTCCCAAAGTGCTGGGATTACAGGCATGAGCCACTAGCCCAGTGGAGAGTCAATTCTTAAACATTTACTAGCATACCACTGTTCAAATATAGACCGAAGCAGTGTGACTCACCTGATTAATGGCCACACTGCTAAGCAAAATATGAAGTATCATGTAAACATGAAAAACCTACAGTTTACTGCCAGTTCAGCATATATATATTATGTATATGTATATGTATATATATGACATTATAATATAAAAATTTTTAGAGATAAGCAAATTGTGAAGAAAACAATTAAAAATTTTAAGAAGTTAGGTCGGGTGTGGTTGCTCACACCTGTAATCCCAGCGCTATGGAAGACCTAAGCGGGTGGATCATGAGGTCAGGAGATCAAGACCATCCTGGCTCACACATTGAAACCCTGTCTGTACTAAAATTACAAAAAATTAGCTGGGTGTGGTAGCATGCGCCTGTAGTCTCAGCCACTTGGGAGGGTGAGGCAGGAGAATTGCTTGAACCTGGGAGGCAGAGGTTGCAATGAGCTGAGATCATGCCACTGCACTCCAGGCTGGGAGACAGAGCAAGACACTGCCTCAAAAAAAAAATCTAAGAAGTCACTGAAGGCCAGGTCCAGTGGCTCACGCCTGTAATCCCAGCACTTTGGGAGGCCGAGGTGGGCAGATCACGAGGTCAAGAGATCGAGACCATCCTGGCCAACGTG